ACTCGCTGGAGGTTGTGGCATAAGTGGCTGCAAGCAAAGAGTTGTGTACCAACTGCAATAAGTAAAATTGAACTGTAGACCTGTGGGTAACACAGCTCAGAAACCTGCCTCAAGGAGAAGACTCTGCTAACCAGAAGTACAATGACCAAGAGCAGAAGAGACAAAGGCACAATGAATATTACTGAAAACTCCCCTGCAAAGGAGCAAAACCCTATGCCACCCTGAGAGCTCACAGAGGAAGACATCGAGAAAATGGGACACACAGAATTCATAAAATTCATTTTAAAGCTTCTGATCAACAATGAGAAGCACATTAAAGAGTTCAAAGAATTTAAGGAAGCAGTAAAGCAAATCAAGGGTGATACATCAGAAATTAAGAACACAGTAGAGCAAATTAAAAGTACAGAGGAGAGTCTCCAAAATAGAATGAAGCAAGCAGAAGAATGAATCTCAGCATTGGAAGATATTTCCTGTCATCAGGGGGAAGCAAACCAAAACCTGGAAGCAGAGCTAGATCAGGCCAGAAAAAGCATTCAAGAATTGAAAGACACTATTAGGAAACCAAATAATATAAGAGTTATGGGAGTCCCAGAAGGTGCAGAAAGAGAAGCTGAGTTTGCAAATGTATTTAATGAACTAATAAAGGAAAATTTCCCTAATCTGGAGAAAGAATTGGGAAACAAGATCCAGGAGGGACACAGAACTCCCAACAGGCTTGATCAAAAGCAAACTTCACCAAGACATATGATTATCAAGCTCTCTTCAATTGAACATAAGGAAAAGATCCTTAAATGTGCACGTGAAGGGCCCGGCGTGGTGGCGCAAGTGGTTAAAGGTCCTCGCCTTGCACGCCCGGGATCCCATATGGGCGCCGGTTCTAATCCCGGCAGCCCCGCTTCCCTTCCAGCTCCCTGCCTGTGGCCTGGGAAAGCAGTCAAGGACGGCCCAAAGCTTAGGGAACCTGCACCTGCGCTTTAGGGAACCTGCACCTGCGCGGGGGACCCGGAAGAGGCTCCTGGCTTCGGATTGGCATAGTATCGGCCCGTTTCGCTCACTTGGGGAGTGAATCATCGGACGGAAGATCTTCCTCTCTGTCTCTCCTCTCTGTATATCCGCCTTTCCAATGAAAAAAATAATAAAAATAAATCTTTAAAAAAAAATGTGCACGTGAAAAAAAATCAATTGACACATAAAAGAATGCCAATTAAACTCACAGGAGATCTCTCACAGGAAACTCTACAGGCCAAAAGAGCATGGAGTGACATATTCCAGATTCTAAGAGAAAAAAATTGTCGGCCTAGGATAACATATCCCCAAAGCTTTCTTTTGTCTTTGGAAATGAAATAAATTCTTCCACAGTAAAGAAAAGTTGAAAGAATTTGCCTCTTCCAAACCTGCCCTACAAATGATACTTCAAGATGTTCTCTTGACAGAGAAGAGGAATAGCACCTACCAACACCAAGGGCAAATGGGAAGAACATCCTGTAAAATGACAACAGAAGACTAAACCAATGAACAACCCATTCCTAAAATGACAGGACCAAAGTACCACCCACAGATATTAAACTCTGAATGTAAATGGCTTAGGCTCAGTCAAACGTCATAGATTAGTAGACTGGATTAAAAAACAAAACCCATCTATTTATTGTCTAGAAGAGACACGCTTCACCAACAAAAATCAGCAGAAACTATCGCATGGGTTTTGTTGTTTTCTGTTGGTTTTATCTCTTCAAACACTTTCTTCTGATTAACTCATTCAATGACTCGTAGATCATACAGTAGCATCATTTCTTGAAGAAGGTTCTTGATTTTCATTTCTTCAGCTACACATTAATCATTTAATAGCATGTTATTTAGCTTCTTGGTGTTGTTAATTTCTTTTTTCTCCCTGATTTTGATTTTATATTATGACTTTTAATTTGAGGGGTTGTACAGTAGCTGTAAATGGAGACTAACATATCCAGATGTGAGGATACAATGCAGTACACATCTCTACTTCCAGACAAAGATGGACTTACAATGAAACTGTTTACTATCTTGACAACAGGATGCTGGACTCCCTGCCATTGTCCATGCTTGCAATAATGAACATATGACTGTGTATGAAGAACTGTATCGTAGTAATGATATAGAGGAACAAGGTGGTGGTGGTGGTGGGGAATTGGGGAGGGGATAAGGGAAATGCCAGGAGCCTATGGAATTGTATCATAAAATGATAATAATAAGAAGAAAATGTAAAAAAGAAAGATTGTCATGAACTTTTCTTGATGTAACAATTTCACTTTGGGAATGGTTTGCAATGGGGCTAAAGCAGTGTGCAGTGTTGCCTGTGGGTTGAATTTTGTGAGCGTGACATGACTCTCATGCTCCTAGTGCGTGCAGGGGCGCAGAGAGGCACCGCTGAGTATGGTTTTAACCTATTTCCGTGTTGTGTTAGAGCATCGCATTGATTGACAAATGCTTGCTTAGCGAGCTTGAACTGCCCATGTGTGACGTGGGAGTTAGTGTGGTGTGTGTAGGAGATTGTTTAGTACAGGAAGTAGATCTTAGAGTTGTCACACATGTCTCTACACACTGTTTACAGGAAGCAGAACCTGGTTGCATCAGTGCTAAAGGTCACGGAGACTGTGCTTCTTCTGAAATATTTTCCTGGAAAAGTGCCAGAGTGGGGCCCGGCGCGGTGGCGCAAGTGGTTAAAGGTCTTCACCTTGCACGCCCGGGATCCCATATGGGCGCCGGTTCTAATCCCGGCAGCCCCGCTTCCCTTCCAGCTCCCTGCCTGTGGCCTGGGAAAGCAGTCGAGGACGGCCCAAGGCTTTGGGAACCTGCACCTACGTGGGAGACCCGGAAGAGGCTCCTGGCTTTGGATCGGCATAGTATCGGCCCGTTGCGCTCACTTGGGGAGTGAATCATCGGATGGAAGATCTTCCTCTCTGTCTCTCCTCTCTGTATATCCGCCTTTCCAATGAAAAAAATAATAAAAATAAATGTTTAAAAAAAAAAAAAAAGAAAGAAAGGTGCCAGAGTGTCTGAGCCCAGAGTGACTGGAGTGCGCACCCACTAGTCAAGATTATGGGAGTAAAAATAGCTAATGTAACTAAGTTAATTCTGGCAAAATATTGCGGGCCTTGAATGTGCTGGTTCACACGGTGACCCGCAGGCAGTTTCCGTGGAAGTAGTGCATCAGACCTGACGATAGCTCACTAACCACGGGCAGCCGCCCCACGTTCCTTGTCCATGCTGTTGCGGCTAGGTGCGCCAGGTACACTCCTTGGTTTAGTCGTTACAGCTGCCCTGGGAGTCACGTTGTGCTGGCTTCTGTCTACATACTTAAACCAAGGGAGACAAGAGGAAGAATCCATTATGTGCCCAAAGTTATCTGTGTTTTTCCAGGGTATCCAGCACAGGACGAGACACCAGCCTAAATAGTGGGGCATTAGCCACGAGTGAAAAAAGACAGTCTCTGCCTTGCTAGAAGCAGCTTGGCTTCCAACCAGTGAATAAACACAGGAACACGGGCAGGTTGGAAGTCAGGTGCCCCTAAGGATTGGGTAGGATTGCAAAACCCCCGAGGAGACCAGAGAGTACAAGGAGAGGAAACTGGCTTCCCATGTCACCTGCCTAGGACTTGGCATCCTCTGAAATGCCCTTCCATCTCCTGGGTTTCCTTCCCCTGCTGTGACAGTTACTGCTTTTCCAAGGCAGCTCCTAAAAAGCAGATGCCTCTATTTCCACTAAGAGCATAACCTCAGGCCTTATCTTCCCAGCCGGGATTAGATGTGCATAGAAATATATGCAAGAATTGATGATGGCTCTTATTACACATTTTAGGGTGACTTCTTTGCTCCTATGTCTGTCTCATATGGACTGTAGGTTTTGCTCTTTGGTGCGACCATACAGAGGACGTGGCGTGTCATGTCCCTGCTGACTGCACTTGGAGAATTGAGCTGCAGTTACGCTGAGGACAGCTTTGATCCGATTCACACCAGAGGAGTGTGTTCAGTAGGGAGGCTAGTCTGCCGAAGAGGCACAGAGGATGGCAGGTGACTGCTCCATATGAAAGGGCTTCACGTGCTATGAAATGCATCCTCTGGTTTCCACAAGGTACAACTTACTAGGTTTAGCTTTGAAACTAAATTAACTTCTTAACAGATGACCCTCTGAAAACTACTTGAAAGATGTGTGCATCCTCAATTGCTGCCAGCTGGGCTGTGGGCGAGTCGGTGGGGCATGAAGGAGAGGGAAGGCCCTTGGAAGGAGGCAGAGCGCGGCCTTGTCTCTTCATACTCTGAACGCACTACAGATGTGTGTCCTTGGCTCCACGGCCCGGATCTTCCGGACTGAACACTGTGCGGAATCAGAATTCGGATGTGGCGTCTTGGCTGCTGCCGAGGGTTGGGGAGTGAACCCAGGGGTGACTTGCCCAGAGCATCTTCTATAAGGACTTCGATGTTGGCCAGCCTTGCTATGAGGACCCAAGTGGGCGGCTTCACACTGTGGTCCCCTAGCCCGGTTCCTGATGGCCACGCAATGGGAGGCCTGCCGGTTAGATCGTTTATTGAGCTTTTGAGCATGAATTCCCATTGCTGAGTGCTTGGGGTTTGGCAGACACATCAGTATGTTACCTAAGATTGATACACTACTTACAGTCACCGACCAACTCACTTCATTTTCACTAATACAGCGTTTATGTAACTTTAGCAATTTGGTGCTGCAGTAATTGCAAAATCTTAAAAATATGTTTTAATTTCATAGTTTTCTTCTAGTCGTCATGACTTCGTATGCCCCCCTCTGCCACAATTTTGGGGTTTTTATTATCCTCTTAATTCTCAGTGTCGTGTGCCGTAAGCAAAGTGGGTAGTTGTGTAATGTTCCTGCTTACAGTTGTCAGCAGGCAGAGCTTGCAAGTGCCGAAAAGTCTCCCAAGAAGCTCTGACCTGCAGGTCTGTCTGTCAGCAGTAGGAGCTGCTTCTAAAGCTCTCTCTGTGACTTTGCCACAGTGACGCCGCTGCCAGAACCCTGTGGGACACCTTACTGAACACCAGGCACAAAGAGGCAGTGATGGAAGTGCGGAGACATCTAGTGGAAGCAGCCAGCAGAGAAAACCTGCCAATCAAGATGAGCATGGGTAAGCAGGTTCTTCCCAGGGGCCCGTGGGAAGCTCAGTTGGCGCATGCTCAGTGAGGCCTGTGAACCGCCAGGTGCAGGTGTGAGGATGCTGGCTGACAGTGCACACTGCCTGTGGGCCTCTGCCAGGGAGCCTTTCTCAGACTCAGCTTTGGGTACTTGAGGACAGTTCTTGTTTACAAAGATTGATTCTTTCAGTTTCTGAGTTGATTTTAGAATTATCAGACTTGGTGCAGAACGCCTCCTCTTAATTCTGTTCCCAGCCTTCTCTGCTTTTCTTCCCCCTCTTGCTCTTTTGCCCCTCTCCCCTCATCTGTAGTAGATGAAAGCTCTCTGTTTTAAAGTGATGACAGAGCAGCGGGGCAGAGGGTGTTCTCTGGCCGGGTCTTGCTCTGTGTGGCCTGCACATAGTCCATCTCTCAAAGTGCTAACCTTTCTTCCCAGGCCTTGGCAGACCTATTTTTCTCATTTCTCATTTTTCTTTTAGTATCGAACTTTGCCTTTAGTATTAGAAAGATATTACCTCAAATATCTGTTTCCTTTAGATCAAGTCAGAGGGGCTGGTATTGTGGCATAGCAGGTAAAATAACAGCTTGAAAACCAACATCCCCAAAAAGGGTTGGCTCCTGTACTAACTGCTCTACTTCCTTTTTTTTTTTTTTTTTAAGATTTGTTTATTTTTATTGCAAAGTCAGATATACAGAGAGGAGATAAGACAGAGAGGAAGGTCTGCTGTCCCAGGATTCACTCCCCAGGCGGCCACAACGGCAGGTGTTGTGCCAGTCCGGAGCCAGGAGCCAGGAATCTCTTCCAGGTCTCCCACGCAGATGCAAGGTCCCAAGGCTTTGGGCCATCCTTGATTGCTTTCTCAGGCCACAAGCAGGGAACTGGAAGGGAAGTAGAGCTGCCGGGATTAGAACCAGTGACCATATGGGATCCTGGCAAGTTCAAGGCGAGGACTTTAGCCGCTAGGCCACACCGCTGGGCCCACTGTTCTGCTTCTGATTCAGCTCCCCGCTATTGGCCTGAGAACAAAATGAAAGACGATCCAATTGTTTGGGCCCCTGTCACTGATGTGGGAGACCTAGACACTTTGGCCTAGCCCAGTGCTGACCACTGTGGCCATCTGGGGAGTGACCCGATATCACTTGCTTTGTAACTCCAATTTTTAAGTAAGTAAATCTTTTTTGTTTTTCTTGAAAGAGAAGCACAGACCCAATGCTTTATTTGTGATTCAGTCTTCTTTTTTGACTTATTTGCATAGACTAGAAAGAAGCAGAGTAGGTCAGAGAGCGCGTGCTCAGCCCGGTTCCTTCCCCGCTGTTCGTCATGTCCTGGGCTGGGGAGGTAGGTGTGGCTGCAGGCCCGAATCGCCGCAGTGCGTGTCGTGCACTGCCTCTTAGGGAGTGTGTGCAGCCAGCCCTGCTGCTGGGACGCTCTGTAGATTTTAGAGAAAGAATTTGGCTTTTTATTTGCAGTTTGAAAGACTATGCTACATGGTTTTATTATTAGATATTTAAGTATGGATATTGAGTCTGGCTTATAGTTTTTGAAACTTGTAAAAACTTGATTTTTTTTTTAACAATACTATTTCCTTCTTGCAGTCTGTCCTAGGGTACCCAGCAGGCAGCGCTAGTGCATTTTGCTGGGTGGGGACCATTTTCTTTTCTGTGACTTCTAGCCCTTAGCTGGTGACATACAGGGACAAACGTCAAACTACCAAGTTGAAATGGATAATAAAACACTGGGGAGTAGCAGGCTGTGGAAGTACGTGGGAGGACAGGGGACAGGGTCATGGTTGGAATGGACGCTGTGACTGTAGGGCCCTGGGCTCCGAGCAGCACAGTGATGCTGGGAAGCCTGCACGAGTCCACTTTCCCCTCCTGTTTGCAGCTGGGCAGGGCCTCTGGCTCCTCACGTGGGCTGTTTTGAGCTGACAGGATTCCACGAGCAAGGCAGCTGAAGCATAGACCCTGAGAGTGCAGGCCGTGGAGGAGTGGACTCGGGGTCCCAGTCCAGGCCTGTTGCTGCCTGAGTGCGCTTCAGTTGGTGGGCTCCTCTTGGCTGCCCAGCGTGTCCCCTTGGAGCAGAAATCGGGCTGCTGCCGGGCAGCCATCCTGTTGTCTTCTCATTACCTCTGCTTGCCTCGCTGCCTCCCTGCCAGCCCTCCTTTTTTCCAACTAGCATATTGCATAGTTCCTGATGCATAGGTGTGTTGAAGCAAGGACTAGTATGTGCTGTCTGGCAGGGAAGCCGTGAGTGCTTGGGTACTAGACTGGGGCAGGTGAAGGTATTTGTGTTTCAGTGATGGAACCTGATGACAGCATAATAGATAAAGTGATTTTATTTATTCCAAAATACCATACATTGGACTGAAGTGAAGAGAAGAAAAAAAGAAAAGAAACAGATGATTGTTGGCAAACTTTTATTGTAGGCAGAGCCAAGCAGGGGGCTCAGCGCATGCTCTGGGCACATGCCAGCTGCCGTGCAGTCCAGGGTAACACAGCATGATTGCCCATCTTGGCTCTGTAGCCCTGGCCAGGCTGGCTTGGGTTCTTTTCCAGAGACAAATGTATGGGTAACCATGACCAGTAACAACAGAAGCTGTTTTAAGTATCAGAAAACATTAATATGTGAAAACTGCTTCTCAGATAGCTTAGCATTAAAAACAGAAGTCATGCTCTGTTAGCCTCGATGGCTGGCCTGCTTTTTGTTGTTGTTGTTAAAGGTTTATTTATTTTTATTGGAAAGTCAGATATACAGAGAGGAGGAGAGACAGAAAGGAAGATCTTGCATCTGATGATTCACTCCCCAAGCGGCTGCAGTGGCTGGAGGTAAGCCAAGCCAAAGCCAGGAGCCAGGAGCTCTTCCAGGTCTCCCATGTGGGTGCAGGGTCCCAAGGCTTTGAGCTGTCTTTGACTGCTTTCCCAGGCCACAAGCATGGAGCTGGATGGGAAGTGGAGCTGCCGGGATTAGAACTGGCGCCCATATGGGATACTGGGTGTGCAAGGCGAGGACTTTAACCACTACACTATCACGCTGGGCTCAGCTGGCCTGCTTTTTCTATCAACATTTTGAGCTACACCATGTGCTTTATGTGCACTGTTGTCCTAGCCCGTTGTGTGAGTTCTACTGAAGTGAAGTTGTTCTAACTGAGACGGAGGCTTCGGCTGTGCTCGAGACATTAAGCAGGTTTTATTTTGAGACTGAGGATTCCCTGGCGTTTAAATTCACGAGAGGGATTCCTCGAACTGACTGAGACCTCAGATCTAAATATAAAAGTTCTTAGTTCAAAGCCAGCTCACATTAAAACATTATGAGCACCAAGAGAAATAAACATCATTCTCTTAAAGGATAAAAGTTTAATTGCTAAAATGAAGGAAAAAAATCGTTTTATCACTGCAGTATAAACACACGCCCTGTCTCTGAGAGCTTGTTATTAAATTGTCAGCTCACCAGGGAGATGGGTTCCAGAAAAGTGACTTTTACAGCACTTAAAGTAAATTGTGTTTTTCCCACCAGTTTTCATAATGAAAAATGTGTTCTGAAAGTGAAGTACAACTGGACTTGAAGCAATGGCATTTGTTTGACTCAGGGTGGAGGGGAGATGGCACACACCTGGGGCACTTCCTGGAGCCCGTTGTGCCGAGGTCCCTGCTGGGGTGGCCCTGCGCTCTCTGCACACGTGCTCCATGGGAGCCGGAGTGAGACTAGCCTGTTCACGTTGCAATCTGCATTCTGTGATGCTGGAGGCCCCTGCTCCAGTCCTCTTTCCTTGCCCATCATTGTAGTGCAGTTGCCTCTTAGCCTTCCTTCCAGAAAGGTCACCCAGGTGGAACCCCAGGGCGTTGGCTGTGGTCTCCTCCATCCTGACTGCTCTGTGGTGTCCAGTCCAGACCTGTTGGCTGCCTTCTCTGGTCCCACCATAGTTTTGATGATGAGGCCATCCCGGTTGCCGCGGAGCCCAGTGTCCATGGCATCTGAGAGTCAGTCGCAGTTCTACCTCACCCCAGCCAGCTTCAAATTCCCAGTCGAGGTAAATCAGGAAGATACCCCCTCCTGCAGGTTGGAGCAGAGGGGTAGCCCACGTGGAGGGAAGCTCACTGGCGTTGGGGTGCTGTGGGAGGAGCTGTTTGGGAAGACTGTCTGATGAAAGTGGAATGCAGCAGACCCAGTGAGGATTGCCCCATTCTTCCCACTTCATCTTGCTTTCTGCCAGACTCTATGCTGGACATCTCCCTTCTGGTGGCCAGACTTTCTTCTTGCAGGACCCCTGGTGGGCTTCCCATTTTCACTTATGGTTGTGTCCTGGTCCCTTTCCCCAGCCCCCTTCATCGTGGCTGTGCTGTTTCCAAATCTCTGTGGTCACTATTGATAGAGACGTCTGTTGCATCTGCAGACAATAGCTCAATCTATTGCATTGTGATATTTGTTTTTCTTTTCCTTGTTTTGAGAAAGAGACCTTCCATTGACTGATTCAACCCCAAATGTCGGCACTTGAGTTGGTCTGGGCTGAAATTAGGGAGCAGGAAACTAGGGACCAGGTCTCTCATGGTTTTACTTGAACCGCGGCCTGCTGCTCCCAGTGCCCACTCTGATACCCTTTCCTAGTGCTGGGCACTTCCATGTCAGCCTTATCCCACACCTCCTGTTTGTGTGATGAGTTCTTTGTGAAGACAGTCCTGTCACTCCTTGAACTCACAGTTGCCTCCGTTTCTGAGCCGCTGGCCACAGCCGTTTGCTAGCCACTTCTCTAGGGGAAGAATTCCCAAGCTGAGCACAGATGTGTGTCCCCCCCCCGCACCCAATTCATCAAGCCCTGCCTAGGTGTTTTTCTTCCTTGTTTTCTATCAGTGCCATTCCTACAGCCATACTGCCCTCCGAACAGCCGTGGCAGTACTGACTCGAAACACGCAGGAAATCAGACATTAGTTTGGTGTACACGGTCCCTCACCACCGTCGAGCGTGCACTGCTTCCTGGTTTGGGTCCTTGAGTTCATCCTGCTCTGGCTGTGCTAACAGCTGGGTTTTGATCACAGTTATAACTTCTGCCTTCATAAAGGGCTGGGATGATGGGAACTTGCTAAACTGCAGAAAGCATGGATTAGAACCAACTCAGAGCAGCCAGTCTGTGATGCACATCTGGGGCTCCCGGGGCATGCCCTTGCCCCTTGCATTGGCTGCAAGTGCAGTTTGGGGAACAGGGAATGGATTAGATTCCTTGTAAGTTCTACTTTGTGAATTTGTTATGTTTCACTCTTGTTTCATAGACAAGGAAAACTGAGGCCTTGCAAGATTTAAGTTTCTTTGCTAGGATTCCTGTACCTGTTGTTAAATTATCATGTCCCAGATCTAAATCCTCCCCCTTCCACTTCATGCTGCTGGGCTGGACTCCACAGGTCACAGGCTGCCTTCCAGCCAGGCCCCTGCTAGCTGCGCTGTGAGGGGTGCTGGAGGGGAAACGCAGGGTGGCAGGCTGCCTTCCAGCCGGGCCCCTGCTAGCTGTGCTGTGAGGGTTGCTGGGCGCGGGGCCGCAGGATGCCCTGTCCTGTTCGTGCCCTGGATGCTCTGTCTGCTCCCGTGACCTCAGCCACCGTGGGGCCTTGCTGCAAACAGCGGATCCAGTGTGTGGTTCTTCCCACACTTCCAGACAGAGGGGCCTTTCAGAGGGACCAGCCCAGCTGAGCAGCCCCTCATTCCTCGAGAGCCAGGTGTCAGCTCTCAGTGCCCCAACTTGGTGAATCATTGTTACTCTACTCTCCTTGCTTATTCCCTGTGCCCTGGTGCTGGTGCTGATGCTGCTCCCTGTGGCCGCTGCCTGCCCCAGGTCTCTGGTAACACTTCTGCCTGATGTGAGTGGCATAGCAGAGGAGGGAGGGTAACAAGGCACTCAGATGTGGCATGTGGGTGCTCCACAGTGCCCTCCCCACAGGCTGGCATCCTTTAATCCTCTTGCTTATTTTAATGCGCATGCTGTTTGAGCATAGTAAAATAAAATTACACCTTGGTACTATCATAAAACTAGTTGCCAACAATTGATCCTTATTAGAGAGGAAGATTATGTGAGAGAGAATGAATCCATCTTCTAGTTCACCCCCAAGTGTCCGTAATGGCTGTATTTGGACCACATCTGGAGCCAGGAGCCAGGAGCCAGGAACTCAGTCCAGATGTCCCACACAGGCAGCGGAGACAACTGGGTTGTCGCTGCTGCCTGCCAGAGTCTGCCCTAGTGGGCAGTGGGTGTCAGGTGATATAGGGGTCAGGGCCTTTGATGGGGAACACAAATGCCAGAAGCACTAGACAAAACACCAGCTTTCTGAAAGTAGTTTTGACTTCATAGATGGCCTGACAGTATCTCGGGGACAACATTGTTGAGAACAATCATTTAAAAGTTAAGTTAAAAGTTTTCTCTGGAGGTTAAGATTGAGCTATTTTCTAGGGATTATCGGAGCTGTGTGGAAAAGTGGAGAAGGCTTGCTAAGTTTTTTTATGCTGTTCATAGAATGAAGTCCTAGATTGTTTTCCTTCACTCAAAGCATAATGTGCTTATTGTCTGTTAGGTCCTTGTAAGATGATAATTTGTTGTCAAATTAACAAGTTATGTGACTGTTTTGTTGCTCTGCATAAAAAAGAGAATTTTAGTACTTGTTAATCTGATAGCGAGATAAGCTGATTTATGTGAAACATGGTTTGCAGAATTCAAGGTGATCTTTGAAATGAAGATATAACATGATGAAATTGCCATTTCCTGTGTGGATAATATACATTGTAAAAATAATAACTAGAAAAAAAAAGACTGGGTTTGGTATCATGGCATGCTTATGGTGACGGCATCCCGTATGGGCACTGGTTTGAGTCTCAATGGTTTCACTTCTGATTCAGCTCCCTCCTAATTTACCTGGGAAAGCAGCAAATGACCCTTGTGTTTGGGCCCCTGTACAAACTAGGACACCCTGAAGAGGCTTTGGGTTCCAGGTTTTAGTAATATTTGCTTGGTCACGTAAGGAGAGAAGGTAGACTGAAGAAGAAAGTTGAAGTGGAGACGTAAGCAGTTCAGTCATGGAGGGGATAGGAGCAAGAGACTCAAGACAGGCAGAGGGAGTGCTCTGAGCCCTGGGCAGCGAGCGGTCCACCCTGAGCAGGCCTCGGCCAGCCGCTCACCCCCACACTCCTGTTGTCGCTGCTAGAGGGAGTGCTCTGAGCCCTGGGCAGCGAGCGGTCCACCCGGAGCAGGGCTCGGCCAGCCGCTCACCCCCACACTCCTGTTGTCGCTGCTAGAGGGAGTGCTCTGAGCCCTGGGCAGCGGTCCACCCGGAACATCACATGTCCATCTTGGCTCCTTCCTTCTCAATACTGTTCCATGTTTCTTCTTTTAGGAGCACTTTGGAAGCAGATTTATTTATTTTTGTTTGAGAGCCAGATTTAACAAGAGAGAAGGAGAGACAGAGAGATCTCCCATCTGCTTGTTCCTTTCCCAAATGGCTGTGGCAACAGCCACGATTGGGCAAGGTATGTAGCCAGGAGCCAGAAGCTTCATCTAGGTCTCCCACATGGGTGCAGAGGCCCAAGCTCTTGTTCGAGCCTTACTTCTTTCTCAGCAAAGATATGGACTGGAAGTAGAGTAGCCCGATATGGACCTTTGCCTGTATGTGATGCTGTCATGCAGGTGGTCACTTTACCCACCACATCCCAAATCCAGCCTCCTTCGGGTTTTTTGTTGTTTTCATTTCTTTATTTTAAAATCAGATTATTATTTGCTGTTGAATTGTTTGAATTTTTATATGTTCTGGAAAATCATTCCACCAAATAAATAATTTTTAAAAAAGATATAAATATATATATATACACACACATACATATATATATATATATATTTTTTTTTTTTTTATTGGAAAGTCAGATTTACAGAGAGAAGGAGAGACAGAGAAAAAGATCTTTCATCTACTGATTCATTCCCCCAAGTAGCTGCAGTGGGCTGCAGCTGAGCCGATCCGAGCCAAGAGTCTCCTCTTGGTCTCCCACATGGGTACAGGGTCCCAAGACTTTGGGCTGTCCTCTATTGCTTTCCCAGGCCACAGGCAGGGAGCTGGAAGGGAAGTGGAGCTGCCGGGATGTGAACTTGTACCCATAGTTGAGAATTTAGCCACTGAGCCATTGCACAGGGCCCAAGATGAATTTTTTTTTTCAAAGATTTATTTTATTTTTATTGTAAAGTCTGATATACAGAGAGGAGGAGAGACAGAGAGGAAGATCTTCTGTCGAATGATTCACTCCCCAAGTGACTACAACGGCCGGTGCTGTGCCAATCCGGAGCCAGGATCCAGGAACTTCTGGGTTTCCCACGCTGTTGCAGGGTCCCAAGGCTTTGGGCCATCCTCGACTGCTTTCCCAGGCCACAAGCAGGGGACTGGATGGGAAGTGGAGCTGCTGGGATTAGAACCAGCGTCCATATGGGATCCCCGAGCATTCAAGGTGAGAACTTTATCTGCTAGGCCACCATGCTGGACCCCAGATGAATAATTCTTACACAATTTCTCCCATTTTATGCTTTGTCTCTTCGTTCTGTTGTTTCCTTTCTGTGGACGCATCAATGTGGACGTGGACAGCCAGCAGGCCTTAGAAAGAATCTCTCACCTCCTGTGCAAGGAAGCCGACAAACTTCCCAAAACAATCAAGACCCCTCCAGTAACACCTGCAAACATCTTTCCCCTCCTGTGGTCTCTAGGCAACGTCAAGTAATGGTCTCCATCCTGTGGGCTGGTGCAGGTTGACAGCAGCAGTGAGGACCTCCTCGGCCCCCACACCGCACACACAGGAGGAAAGCTGGAACATCCATTGTAATCAGAGGCTCGCATGGGTCTGTGACACCCCCACCACCACTTAGTAATATGAAGATTTAAAATAATAATAGATGTTTTCATTCAGACTTATTCTTGATAGGTAAGAATCTTCTGCCATTTTCTTAATTATCTTCTGATAGCTTTGTGTATCATTTGTCTCTGCCTCTGTTGTTGTCTTTATGACATGGTGGTTTCTGTGGGTTCTTTTGGTTCTTTTCCTTGGTGTTTCTCTGTTCCCAGTGCTTTGATTGCTTTACATGCTACGGTGATAATCGTCTCGTTCCGGATGTGGTACTCTTCTCCCAAGCATTTCCCATGAGGCTGGGTGATTCCCCCCAGCAGTGCTTGCCTGCAAAGGGAGTTACTTCTTCATTTCTGAGGAATAGCTTGGCTGGCTACTAGGTTCTTAGTAGTCACTTCTTTTCCTTTCCAGACTGTAAAGATGTCATCCATTGCCGTCTGCCCTAAGGCTTGTGTTGAATATGCCACTCTTGGTGTCCTGGCCATCTTTCCCATCTTGATGTTTCTCTTCCTGGTGTTTAGTATTCCCTTGAGAAGTTCTTTCATGGTGGGTGTACCTGGGATTGTTTGGACTTGCTTGATCTGGTGATTCAAATCTTTTTAAACACTTGAAAGTTTTCCAGTTATTACTTTGTTAAATAGGTTTTTGATGTTTGTTCTCCTTCTAGAAGCTCTGCAGTGTGGATTTCTGTTTGTTTAGTAATGTCCCATAAGTCCCAAGGGCTCTATCTATCCGTCTGATGGGTTATTGCAAAAGATCTGTATTCAAGTGTAGAAATCCTTTTTTCTAATTTTGTTTTATCTTTTTATTGTGTTTATTTCATTGAATTTTTCAACTCTGATTTTATTTGGTTCTTTTATGATTTCTGTCCTTTTAAAAATTTTTTCTTAATATTATAAACCATTTTCCTTGTCTCATTGAATTGATTATGTACTCTTTTATCTGGCTCAGTTCCATTAGGATCAGTTTTGTGAATCTGTTCTCAGGCATTTTTTGAATTTCCGTCCCATTGGGCTCTGTTTATGAGATGATTCTTTTCTTCCTTTGAAAGTGTCATGTGTCCTTGCCATTTAGTGCTTCTAGTGTGCCTGCGTTGATTTTGGCCTGGTGGTATACCAGTTGCACCCTTCTGATCTTAGGGAGTAGTTTTCATAGGAGACGACCATTTTCGTTTAGATGGGATATGGAATGTCATTCTGGTGAGTGGTTTGGCCATGGTTCTACATCGAACACGGAAGTGTGGCCTCTGTAAAGTTCCCTGTGCTGTTGTTGATATTAGTGATATCTGCAGCTGCATCAGTAGCCCTGACTGATCGTTGAAAACCACTGCCACTGATTGAAAATCATTGCTTTTGTGGTGGACAGGGCTTCTAGAGGTTTCCATGTCTTGTGGAGCCCAGCACAAACTGCAAGGAGGCCTCTGGTGCTGTTGCCTGCACTCTGGGAGCTGTAGGCTGGGCTGTTGGGAATATGCACTAGATCCCCAATGGCCACTGCTTGTCGAGTTTCTAGTCCTCAACCTGCAAGACAAGCAGGAGTGATATGTGGGTTTGTGTCAGGGGCAGCCATGGTTAGGTGTTGAAAGGCCTATGTCCCGGCTCCATGAAGTGCATGCAAGTGGCACCTGCGCTTGTGGTGGCTGCCACCCTCCTGAAGCTGCAGGATGGGCCTGTGTTTGGCTCTGAGAACTGAATGCTGGCCATGGGGCTGTAATGCTGGGACCAGAACAGGTGACTGTAGGAGCCTATTCTGGGCCAGACCGAAGCTTGGAGCCAGAGTTTCATCCAGGTCTGTAATGTGGTTAGTCAGGGCCCGAACACTTGAGCCATTTTCTGCTGCTTTCCCAGGAGCATTAGCAGGAACCTGGACCACAAGTAGAGCAGCCAGGAATCTAATTGACACCCAGGTGAGAAGCTGTAGGCAGCTGCTGTGCCTTGGTATGCCACAATGCCATTCCATGTTATTTTCCTTTATTAGTATTATTATTTTATTCTGATGATCTTTACATGGTTGATTAGGGTGTAGAGGGTCAAAGGTTACAAGAAAGTGGGTAAGACCATTGTTTCCACATTCTTTTTCTTTGCTGAATCTGGGAGAAGAAGGGAGATAAAGGGAGAAGTCACACCCAGCCTCCCAACCATCCCAAGGTCCCCAGTGTGCGGCATGCTCTGAGGGCACTGCTCAAGTGGTTTTCATAGTTCAACTATTCTGAATTGCTGACAATCTTGCCATTCCAGGCACAATGAAATCTCTCCTGAATCCACTGGTTGAACATAGTCCACCTTAGACTCTCTGTTTGCTGACATTTTCACTGTCAACACATGGCTGGGGTAGTTGATTAATTTGTTCAGTCCTCTGTCCTCTATTGTGGTACCAGGTGTCCTACACAGGTTCCAATGGACTGCCATATCTTGCATGTGCACCTGGATATGCTGTCCAGTGCTCCATCTGAGCCACTGAGGAGGCTCAGCTTTGACACATGATTTCCACAGTGAGACCATGGAACCTGCACTTCTCTTCATGGTTGGGGTTCTAAGATCAGCAATTCTTTTGGGGGGGATCCCAAAGACGCTTCGTCTGAGGTGATCCCAGATGAGATTCTTGTGTGTGCTTGCCAGTACAGGGTCTGAAACATCAAACAGGGTCACCCAAATCAGCCTGTGCATATGCTGGTGGTTGCATTTGCTGGGTCAAATCTATTTCCAGCCTCATCTTCTAAAAAACACAGTGAGAGTTTCAGACCAGCCCCATCCTGTCCACTACACACTAGGCCCTCATGCACATAAGTGGGAAATGCAGCCTAATTAGAGCAACCTGGAATAAACCCCACCAGGCCCTACCCCCACCCAGGTTCCCATGCATACCAGAATGTATAGCAGACTGGTCCAGTCTGTCCCACATCCCATTCAGCTCCCATACATATCAATGGGCACTGTAGCCTAGTTCAGCTCAACCAGCCCCACTATCCAGCCCACTCATATACTGGCTAGTGCCACTTTCTGCCTGGCCATGCCTGCTCCAGTCCCAATTTTCATGCTCACCAGTGGGAGTGGCAGCCCAGGAAAGAGGTGCTCACTGTTTTCGTAATGGACCTACTCTTACTCCTGGATCGTGCACAATCCAGGTAGTTCTACAGTTTAACTAGACATGATTTACCCCTTGTACCAGCATCTGCCTGCTGATGCTGCAGTAGAGCCCAACCAACCCACACCCCTGTGACTAAGCTTGCACCAGCAGGAACAGCCAACTCATCCTGACTTTCCCCTGATCCAGTTCATATGAGGCCAATAGGTGTTGTAGGCCTGCCCAGTCTGATCTGCCTTCACCCCCCTGGGTCTCATGTAAGCTGGTTGGGTGATGTAGCCCAGTCTGGTATCGCCTGCCTCACCTTGGCATTTGCCAGTCAGTGGGTGCTGTAGCCTAGCTAGTCCTGGTCCATCACTAATTCCAGCTCATACTGGTGGGGGCAACACTGTAGCCCAGCCCATCTATGCCCTGGTCCAAGTCCTCCTCTGTACTGGTGTGTGTTACAACCAAACCCAGCCCTACCCACAATTCCATTCTGGTGCTTGGATTTGCCAGTGGGTGATGTGAACTGGCCCTGCCTGGTCCACCCCTGACCTTCACCTAATGTATGTCAGTGGGTTCCGTTCCCTGGCCTGGTCTGGGTTGCTCGTTACCATGGTTTTTGGGCTCACCTGCAGGGACTATGTCCCGAGAGAGGAGTTTCCCAAGCTCCTCCATCAGAACCTCTCCTAGTGACAGGTCTTGCTCACACAGGTAGGTCCGTGGCCAGCTCTGCTTGGTCTACTTCCTGTCCTAGCAGGAACAGTAGCCTTTCCTGACTGGTCTTCACCCATTCTGGTTATTATTGTTGAGTGTTACAGCCCAGCCAAGCCTGGTCCACATGCAGACAGATCACACATGGCTCAACAGGGGCAAAAATCTCTCCTGGCCCATCCTGCACTTACCCTGGTCTTATGGAGCACCAGTGGGTGTTGGAGTCTAGCCTAGTCCTGCGAGCCCAGCCCCAGTCCACATTTGTGCCAAGGGACACTGCAGCCATATCCAGACCAGAATGCTGCTCCTACTCCAGCCTCCTGCACTCACCAGTGGGAACCCCTGCCCAGCCAGGGCGGCCCCTTAACTCTCCAACCAGGCCTGCTCCCAGTCGTAGATTTTGCGCGTGTCACTGGTTGCTTTGACCCAATTTGGCATAGTCCCTCCCTTGTCATGACCTTTGCTTTAGGATGCTTCAGCCTGGCCTGCCCCGGCCTGCACCCAATCCTAGCTCTCACTTGTGAGTGCTGGAACTTAACTCTGCTTGGTCTGCACCCATCCCAGGCTCATGCAGACTGGCAGGTGTGACAGCCTACCCTGGCATGGCCTGCGCGCCAGCCTGGTTCCTGCACTTGCCAGTGAGCTAAGATTTGCTTGGCCCTGCCCAGTCTGCCCCTTCCAAAACCAGCCCACACATGAGCCAGTAGTTGGGAGTACCTTGCTCAGCTTGCCTGGCCCCCAGGCCTGGACCATGTAATCACCAGTGAGAGCTGTGATCCCAATAAGGGAGTTTCCCAGGTTCCACCCTTGGCCAACTTCCAGACCTAGATCTCAGCATGCCAGTGGCACTTACCCAGCATAGCCTGCCCCTCCATCTTGACATTTGTATATGTGCTGCCGAAGTGAGCACCATCGTGGCATTTGTATGAGCTGGTGAATGTTTGGCCCAGCCCACCCCACATCCTGGTCTTAGGATGCACATTTGGGTGCTGCAGCCTGGACCTGCCCAGAGTATTCCCAGTTCCTGTATCTGTGAATATGGCAGGTTCTGTGGTCACACCTGGCTCAGCCCATCAGCACCACCCCTACTCTTGAGCTAACCAGTGGGACTTGTATTTCCACAGAGTTGGGCCCACTTAGCCTCCACAGAATCTACTCCCAGATCTGGTTCTCTTGTGTGATGGTTAGTGTCATGGGCCTGCCTAATGTGACCTATTCCCTGTTCAGACATTCAGTCATGTATTGGGTCTAGCCCTGCTTTACATGTCCCCAGCCCTAGCTTTCACGTAGACTTTCGTGTGTGATCAGCAATGTTCCATGATAACAAGCCCTACTCAGGACTCCCATGTAGGCTGTTGTATTCATCTGACCCATACAAATTTTCTGGTCTCTTCCCTCCAAACCACCTGGTCTCAGTCTCCTCACTTACCTGCAAGTACAGTGGCCCTGTCATTGGACATCCCTCAGGATTCATTCTTTACTTACATGCACAGTGACCTTATCCATGGATGTCCTTAGGCAGCAATTTCACACCACGAAGACCCTAGAGCTAACCAGTGGTCGGCCAGTGGGAGGAGACCAACGCTAGTTGGTGTATTGGCTATCCAGAAGTCCAGGACTTGCTTAGCACTTGTCAACGGTGGCTGGGGTGAAGGCCCCACGTATTGAGTGTGACCTGGCTCCCACTGCTGGAAGCTTCTACCACCCAAGTCCTGAAGTTGAACTCCCCTAGCCTCCTCCCACTTCAAGATGTTGGTGGCAAGTGGAGCCAGGGACTGACCCTAACTCCTGAGAGATCCCTTCACAGTGTACTTACCATGAAAGGAGAAACCTGTTGGAACCAGATAAGCACAGGACTCACTCAGCTCTTGGCAGTGGTTGTTGTGGCTAGTTCCCCAAGCCTTGAGTCTGCCCTATCTCAGGTACCCCCAGTAGCCACCACGCTTCTGGAAGCTCTCACCACCCAAGTCCTAAGGTCTAACTCCCCTAGTCTCCTGCCACCAGATGGTGGCGGCAGGTGGACTGTTATTTTCCTTTTTAAGAATCAGTTGTGGTGCCCGGCGCTGTGGCGCAAGTGGTTAAAGGTCCTCGCCTTGCACGCCCGGGATCCCATATGGGCGCCGGTTCTGATCCCGGCAGCCCCGCTTCCCTTCCAGCTCCCTGCCTGTGGCCTGGGAAAGCAGTGGAGGACGGCCCAAGGCTTTGGGAACCTGCACCCGCGTGGGAGACCTGGAAGAGGCTCCTGGCTTCGGATCGGCATAGTGTCGGCCTGTTGCGCTCAGTTGGGGAGTGAATCATCGGACGGAAGATCTTCCTCTCTGTCTCTCCTCTCTGTATATCCGCCTTTCCAATGAAAAAATAATAAAAAAAATAAATCTTAAAGAATCAGTTGTGTTTATTTGAGGTTAGCAGCGTGCTGTCATATACGTGTACAGACAATAAAATGGGCCTTACACCTGAGCAAATGACAACATCTCACATGGTTCCTGAGGGTACAAGGAGCAATGCAGAGGCCGCTAGTCAAGGTCCAGGCCCAGGAAGGCAGCATTCTGTGGCCATTTGACCCATAGGCTGTAGTGGCTCAGCTCAGATAAGGTGCAGTTTCCTGTGGTGCACTGTGTCAGTTGTGCGGCTTGGTGGTGGGGGTGCCTGCTTCCCAGGTGCTAGTGCAGGGAGTTGGGGGACTTAGGTGCTCTTCTGAGCCCTGGGCCTGGGGCTACTCTCATTGGCTGGGGCTCTGGATCCGGAGGGACTGAGCGCTGTGTTAGTGCAGGTGTCGGGTGTGTGATGTTGCCACTCTGGTGGACTGAGGCCTAGATTCGTAGGCAGACAACATGGCAAGCTGCCTCAGTCTCCAGGGTGGGGCCGCTCTGCTGGGCCAGGCTCTTGAGTGGCTGTGGTGGAGCCCAGGGGAGGCAGAGCCCTGTTACAGCCAGCTTGGTTGCAAAGGAAGGCAGCTGCAGTGTCACCCAGGAAGGCGTGCACCCGCGGCATCCATGGTGGCTGCTGGCTCTGGAGTAGGACGCATTCCAGCAGTGGCCCTGGTTTCCAGGTGGTACAGTGCAGTGACAGTGTGGGCCACGAGGTGGGCCACGTTGTGAGCTCCCTCTCTGCAGCAGTGTGGCTACAAATTCCTGGCAGCTCCCTGCACTGAGTTCAGGGCCTGCAGGGATCCGGCTGCTCTTGGATGCTAAGGCACTGGGGCTGCTAGGGACCTCCCTCCTACCCTGCCCCAGCAGGTACAAAGCTTTTCCTCTCAGAGTTGTTCCCCACTAGGCAATGAGGTGGAGGAGATCCCTTCCCCATGTAGCCATCCTGCATTTTGTATGTCGCTCGAGTGTAATCCCTGCTCCCCTCTCCCCTTGCCTCTATGTCGCCATGGGAGGAATATAGTTGGCTGTTCTTCCATGGGAGGCAGGTGTTGGGGCCTCTCTCGCGGACTCTGTTGCTTACCTGCCCTCCTGTGTGTGCTGCTCATGAGCCCTTGTGCCAAGGGTGTGAGCACGAGGCTAGCATGGGGTGGTGGGCCACCTGGAGAGTGGGCTCGCCTTCCAGGTGGGATCCTGCCCTGTGCACCTGCCCGGCGCTGTGCCCTGACAGCCCTGCTTGCTGCTGCATTTATAAATGTCGAAGCAGTGTTGAAGCCAACCCAGTAATGTTGAGTTTCCCAAGAAAGCTGAGCCCCACGTGTTTCTTTTGGTTTTGGATTTCACTGTTTTGTATAACTTCAGGGTGAGCTGTTTACTTTCTGTGTGTGACCCTTGATCCCTCCACAGTTCCTTCATTCTGTGCTTGTCTTGGTGAATGCAACTTGATTCTCAGACTTGAACACATTGAACTTGGTGTGATTAAAATGTTCTTTTTGCATTGTTCTTTGTTCCATCTTTGTAATGTCATACAGGTTGAATAAAAATTTTGTGTAACAAGAAACCTCCTCTGTAAATGAAACGCAGAGCCCGTGTCCTGGGATTTACAGTGTTGTAAAAATGGCCGTTGGCCCCAGCTGGGCCTCGTCCACACTGGCGTACAGATGGCGTGTGCGCTGTCCTTGCAGTCCCTCGGCAGATTCATCCTCTTGGCCCGCCGCCACTGTGACTGCTTCAGTGTCCACCCGTCACCGCTACCGGGGCTCTCCCTGTGTCTGATGGGTCTCCATCACCTGCCCATAGTCCTGTATCTTTGCCCTTTGACCCCAGCCACAGCAGGAAGTGAGACTCCCTCTGCTGTTTGCCTGTTTGTGCACGGCCGTCCTCTCATCCAAGGGACAAGTCCGTGATAGCAGAGTCAGACTTTCCAGAGAAAGGTCATGTTGTCCGGGTCATAGGAAGCAGGCGCCGTTTTGTTTTAGAGCCGAGAGTTTTACAGGGTGACAGGATAATCTTGGCAGATTCTGATGATACTGCATGTGCTGCCCCACGTGTGTATGGTGTCCCCTTTCCTCCGCCCCAGTGTCCTGATCTTTCCTTTTTCTAGGCACGTTTCTCCTTTTGGAATTTGTATTATTTCTTTGAAAGTCAAGAGTGATGAGGGAGGGAAGAAGAGACAGAGACGTCATCCATTCACTACAATGGCCACAGCAGCGTGGGTTGGGCCAGGCTGAAGCCAGAAGCCTAGACCTCCATACGGGTCTCCCACATTGGTGGCAGGGACACAAGCGCTTGAGTCATTGCCGTCTGCTTTCCCAGGCACATAAGCAGGGAGCTGGGACAGAAGTGGAGCAGCTGGGACGTGAACCAGCACTCTGATGGCATGTTGTAAGCAGAGACTTAACACTTAGTACCACAGATGTCAGCCTCCCTCCTGCTCCTGAACTCATCTTCCAAACGTGTGATCTTGCAGGCATTTTCCTATGTGGTTACGGAAGTAAGAAGCCATGAAAATAAGGCAATAAAGGGGCACACCAGTAGTAGGGGACGTGTTCTCTAGGGCTGCTTCTCCATCAGGCTTACTGGGGCTCGGGCATCCAGCCTGAAGTGCCGGGGAGGACAGTTCATCGCCCAGTTGTGCTTCTTCTAACACGTGTGTCCGTTCAGTGTGTCCAGTGGGGTCACTTTGAGCTGGCGCCAGAGTGCTGGCACAGCTGTGGGAGCTGTGTGGAGGTGTCAGCTGAGGCCAGTGCTTGCCCATGTGCTGCCCTGCATCTCGGCACACACCTGGTAGACACAGCTGCTCCTGCCCAACAAAGGCACACGCTGGGACGGTCATCGTAGCTATGCTGGTACCAAGCAAGGAGGAGGCACGAATGTCCCTCGACATGGCGCAGTCACACGGGAATTTAAAAAGAAGTGGAAATCTTGGATAACAGAGAACTAAACAAAGCAGAACATCGGAAATACATAGGGAGCTGCTGACCACTGCCGTGAGGTTCAGATGCAGGCAGCTGCGCTCAGGCGGGAGGTGGCAATGATGGCTTAGCAGGGCTGTTCTCAGGGCTGCGAAGGACTTCCGGTGTGCCCGTGGGGGAAACATGCTGCTTCTGTGGATGCAGTGCCCTCCCGCATCCGGTCACCATGCCCAGACCGTGGGGTTCTCCTGGACAAGCAGTGCCCCCCCACACCCTGTCACCATCCATAGGCCGTGGGGTTCTCCTGGACAAGCAGTGCCCCGCCACACATCCGATCACCATGCCCAGACCATGGGGATCTCCTGGACAAGCAGTGCCCCTCGTGCCCTGTCACCATCCACAGGCCGTGGGGTTCTCCTGGACAAACTGTGCCCCTCCACGCCCCGTCACCATGCCCAGACTGTGAGGTTCTCCTGGACAAGCAGCGCCCCCCCCACACACACAGCCTGTCACCATGCCCAGACCATGGGATTCTCCTGGACTAGCAGTGCCCCCCATGTCCTGTCACCATGCTCCGGCCACACGGTTCTCCTGGACAAGCGACCTGTACTTTGCTACAGGGCCTGTGTTTGTATTCATACAGACACAGAGTGACTTTTTTCTTTTTATATGGTACCTTTCTCTTTGAGATGTGGAGTTCCTTTCTGGGGTGATAAATGTTCTGGATTTATATAGTGGTGATGTGTGCATAACTGCATTTACCAAAATTCCACTGAATTGTATACTTTAAGAATTATTTCTAAAGGGCTGACCTTGTGGTGTAGTGTGTTAAGCTGATGACCGCAATACCAACATTCTGCATTGGCGCTCCACAGTTCAAATTATAGCTGCTCTGCTTCCTATCCAGCTCCCTGCTCAGGTGACTGAGAAAGAGGCAGGGCATGGCCCAAGTGTTTGGGCCCCTGCAACCACATGGGAGACCCAAATGGAGGTCCAGGCTCCTGGCTTGGGCATGGCTCAGCCTCATCTCTTGTGGCCATATGGAAGATCTGTCTGTCTGTCTCTGTTTCTCTCTCTGTTCTCCTCTCCCCCACCCCCGTGTGCCACTGTGCCATTCAAAATAAATAAATAAATCTTTTTTTTAAAGGAGTGACTTTTGAGGTGCATGCTGGGTGCCACAGGGTAAGCCGCCCATTATGCCCCATTTCAGAGTGGCAGCCCAGGTAATAGCTTAGCCTTCAGTTCGTCTGCTCACTGACTTGCCTGGAATTGCAGTGCCTGGGCTGCTGCTGCCTCCGTGGGGGCCGCAGGCCTTACCCTAGGACAGCCTTGGCTATCGTGGGCATCTGATGAAAGACCGACCGACCTCTTCCTCTGGCACCCTTCCTTTTAAATAAATACATCTCATAAACAAAGTGCATTTCATGGTATATTAGAGTCCTTCAGAAAAATTTATAGGAAATTAAAAATAAGTGTATTGGGTCCCAGTATGATGGTGCAATACTTAAATTCGTGCCTCGCACATGCTGGGACCCAGTAGAAGCACCGATTCATGTCCCAGCTGCTCTGCTTCCCATCCAGCTCCCTGCTTGTAGCCTGGGAAAGCAGTGGAGGATGACTTGGGACTCTGCACCCAAATTGGAGACCTGGAGGATGCTCCTGGCTCCTGGCTTCTGGCTTCAGATTGGCTCAGCTTTGACTGTTGAGGTCACTTGGGGAATGAATCATTGGATCGAAGATCTTCCTCTCTGTCTCTCCTCCTCTCTGTATATCTGCCTTTCCAATAAAACTAAATAAACCCTAAAAAAAAAAAAAAAAACTGTATCGGGGCTGATGCTGTGACATAGCAGATATAGCTAGCGCCTGTGGTGCTGGCATCCCATATTGAGTTCAGGTCTTGGCTATTCAACTTCTGATCCTACTCCCTGCTGGTGGCCTGGGAAAAGCAGTGAAGATGGTTCAAGTGCCTGGGCTCGTTCACCCACGTGGGAGACCTGGAAGAAGCTTTGGGCTCCTGGCTCAAACCTTGCCAGAGATCCTGCATCCACCAGGTCACTCCTCAAATGGTCACAGCAGCCAGAGCTGGGGTGTTCCAAAGCCAGGAGCCAAGAGTGTCTTCAGTTTCCCGTGTGGGTACAGGGGCCCAGGCTCTTGGGCCTCTCTGCTGCTTACACAGGCCAGTAGCAGGGAGCTGCATTGAAAGTAGAGCACTTGGGACTCAAATAGAGAAGGCTCAGGGCAGACACTCAACCTGTTACGCTGGCTCTTGTGGCACTGTTTCTGTCTCCTCGATGTCTGATATTTTGTTCCCTGTGGCTTGTGTCCTTGTGAATACTGTCATGAAAGCACTGGCAGTAAAAATGAAACTGTGGTTGTGTCTTCTTATTTTTGTTTTTATTTGTATAAAACAACGTGCGTATTTAGGGAATACCCTGTAGTGCCTTGGAACATGCATGCACTGTGTGATGTGCAAATATCCATCTTTTCTAACATTTTTCATTTTTCACAATGAAACCATCCAAAGTTTTTTCTAACCTTTTAGAGAAGTTGTAGACATCTTAGTGTGAGATAGGACAGCAAGACTGAATTCTCCTGCCTGTCTGTAACCTCATGTTGCTTAATCAGCATTCCGTCTCCTCTCCCTGTGCACAGGGGCACCTACAGAGACCTGACCCGTCCTCTCTCCCTGCTTCCTCCTGTATCCACAGTTAGAGACCCTACCTTTGTCTCTTTAAGTCCATGCCCTGTGTCATGGGGAGGTTCTCCATGTTCAGCTCCATGAGGCTTATCATGTGACTTATTTGAAAGAAAAAATACAGGGCGGCACAGAATTGTAGGATGGCTTCTGTTAGATTAAGACTGTGGCCAAATATCAAACATCTGTTTCCTTGTAAAATTCAGGTACTGGCATCCCTGTAGACATTTGCATCATGTAGTCGTCAGAATGACCCTGACTGAGAAGGTTCAGGGCAGCCCTGGGTACCCGTTGGTGCTAGATGGTGGTGCTGGGCTTGGGGCAGCCCTGGGGACCCGTCGGTGCTAGATGGCGGTGCTGGGCTTGGGGCAGCCCTGGGGACCCGTCGGTGCTAGATGGCAGTGCTGGGCTTGGGGCAGCCCTGGGGACCCGTCGGTGCTAGATGGCGGTGCTGGGCTTGGGGCAGCCCTGGGGACCCATCGGTGCTAGATGGCGGAGCTGGGCTCGGGGCAGCCCTGGGGACCTGTAGGTGCTAGATGGAGGTGCTGGGAGCGATGTGAGGGTGGCACGGAGGTTGGTGGGAGCCTCTTGCTTGTTGCCTCTTCTGCTCTCAGTTGCCCGTGCTGATCCGTTCTGTTTCTCCAGGGCGAGTTACTGCTGCGCAGCTCACCGCCTACATCCAGCTCTTCAAGAACAACATGCAGGCCATGAGCAAGCACTGCGGGCTCCTCCAGCTGGGGCTGGCCACGGCACAGACCCTGTCACACCCACACACTGCCAAGTGGGACAATTTCCTGGCCTTTGAGCGGCTCCTTCTCCAGGTCAGTGGCACCGGGAGTTGGCGCTTTTGATTTTTGCAGAGACACCATGGTATTATAGTTTTACGAGTAAGTCCTGAGGTTGTCCTCCATTGTGTTCTCAAGTGGCCCCACATTAGGAACTTTTCCACAATGTTTGTTTGTTTTTAAGATTTATTTTGCTTTTATTAGAAAGGCAGGTGTACAGAGAGAAGGAGAAACAGAGAAAAAGCTCCCATTCTCTGCTTCACTCCCCAGTTGGCCACAATGGTCAGAGCTGAGACAATCCAAAGCTAGGAGCCAGGAGCTCTTCCGGATCTCCCACACGGGTGCAGGGTCTCAAGGCTTTGGGCCATTCACCACTGCTTTCCCAGGCCACAGGCAGGGAGCTGGATGGGAAGTGCAGCAGCTGGGACACCGCTGGCAGGCAGAGGAGTAGCTAATTGAACCACTGCACTGGCCCTCATGTTTCCTATGGGGTTTTGGAGATTTTATTTATTTATTTAAAATCCAGAGATTTGGGGAGAGAAATCTTTCACTGTCTGACTCACTCCCCAAAGCTAGAGCAGGCTGAGGTAAACAGCTTCCTTTGGGCCTCCCCCATGAGTGGTGGGCACCCAGGCAGTCGGACCCCCTCTGCTGCTTTCCCAGTGCATTAGCAGGGTGCTGGGTCAGAACTGCAGCAGCTAGGACTCCAACCGCATCCATGTGGGATGCTATCCAGTAGTGTTGGGTATGATTTAAAATAACAATAAAAACAAACTTCGTTTGTGGCATCTTTGCTTTCATTCCAGACTCAGGGTATTTTTGAGCAGTTGACTAAACTGTAGGCACAGTTGTCCGGTTTTATGCCATTTGGACCTTTCTTGGTCTTGCTGGTAGTGTTGTTGGTCCTGGCTCCTGCTGCTGTTTTCATTCCTCCTGCCACTGCCTTGTCCCCAGGCCATGCGCAGCACAGCGCTGATGGAGGCAGGGACTGTCTAGGGATTTGTGTGTGTGTGGTGGGGGGTGGGAGCTCCTTCTGATTGAGTACAGATTTCAGGAGGAGCTTTTTAAAAGAGGTGCAGTTGAAAACCTCAGGCTGTGTGCTTGGTGTTGAAGTGTATGTTTAGATAGGGTGTGGGGGTCTGCACACTCCACGTGGACTCGCCTTCGTTTGTACTTTTCTGTGTCTGTCAGGTTCTTCAATAAAGAAATAAGGCTAAATGTAGCAGGAAGCATGTTCCTTTTTCCTTCCACAGAGATAAACACAAGCACGATTGTTTTATATTTTTATTAAGTAATTTTTCATAAGACAGAATATTGTACTATGGCATTTTTCTCAAGTGGAGGGCACTGTAAATATCCCTTAACAACTTGCTCCTTTGTCTCCCAGTCAGTAGTGCTGCCTGCCGCCCTGGCTCATTCAGTGGCCGTGCTGGTGGAGGCGGGCGTTCACCCTGCCGCCCTGGCTCATTCGGTGGCCGTGCCTGCCGAGGCGGGCATTCACCCTGCTGCCCTGGCTCATTCAGTGGCCGTGCCTGCCGAGGCGGGCATTCACCCTGTCGCCCTGGGTCATTCAGTGGCCGTGCTGGTGGAGGCGGGCATTCACCCTGCCGCCCTGGCTCATTCGGTGGCCGTGCCTGCCGAGGCGGGCATTCACCCTGCTGCCCTGGGTCATTCAGTGGCCGTGCCTGCCGAGGCGGGCGTTCACTCTGCTGCGGCAGGCCGCCCTTCCCTAGAAAGCCTTCCTTTCACTTGTCCATTTTGAATTTCTTGGGTGAGACATACAGAAACTGTCATCGTGTAGTCTACATTCCTGACTTTGGGAAGGTGTAACATACAAAATATTCCTGAAGGTTGCAGTTTGACCTTGTTGCCTACATATTTTCTTGCATGAAAGTTTAAGGTCTTAACCTGGTCTGGCTGATTAGTACTGTGCTTGATAGAATGCATATGTTGTATATTAGAAACCCTTTCCTACCTCTTAATTTGCAAATGTATTTTTCCTACATTTTTGAATTTTGGAATTCATTTTTGTGTGGTGATCGAACTCTAGTTTTCGTGTGTTTAAGTAGCCCGTCCTGCCCACGCCACTTGTGGACTGTCCCATCACACTGCAGGGAGCTTATCCAGCAGCGCATTTCTGCTTTCTCACGTTGACAAAACATTTTTGCTGCAGCATCCACTGTTCCGTGTGTGGCTCAGGTGATTCCTGAATGTTGGACCAGCACCCCTCCCCAGAGCGGCTGCTCTGAGCGAGGCCAGTGCAGTGCGCTGTAGGGAGGCAGTGGGGCACAGTGAAGAGGCAGGTGCCCCATCCTGCCATGTGGTGTTCGCAGGTGGTGCTCACTACGCTGTGTTCTGAAGCCCGAATCCTGGACCAGGGCTGCCGGGGAAAGCCGTTAGCTTTGTCCAGTTGTCTGGACCGTGCACCGCCCCGCCCTTTCTCCACTGACGGGTCATTCACTGACAGCCCGCAGAAATGTGGGCCGACGCCCTTTTCTGTTGCAGCCACCAGCTTATCCATTGCCATGGTTTTCATCCCCCATGTCCAGTGTTCTATTATTCTCTAGAAATGAATTGAACTAAATTCATTGATGGCTATTTTTAGGTTTTTAACAGCATTGTGAAATATATATATGTTTGTGTGTGTGTTTAAAATGTATTTAAAAATCATAGTTAGATGGGCCTGGTGTGATAGCCTAGTGGCTAAATCATTGCCTTGCCTATGCCAGGATGCCATATGAACTCTGGTTTGTATCCTGGCTGCTCCACTTCCCATCCAGCTCCCTACTTGTGGCCTGGGAAAGCAGTCATGAATGGCCCGAAGCCTTGGGACCCTGCAGCCATGTGGGAGACCAGAACAGGCTGCTAGCTTATTGGCTCAGCTCTGACCATTGTGGCCACTTAGGGAGTAAACCAGTGGCTGCAAAATCTTTCTGTGTCGTCTTCTCTCTATATATCTGCCTTTCCAATACAAAAATAAAATAAACTTTTTTTAAGTTGGTGTTAGAGAGAAGGGACTCTTTCACCCATTGACACACTGTTTAGGTGGCTGCAATGGCCAGAGTTGAGTCAGGCTATAGCCAGGAGTCAGGTGCTTCTTCGGGCTCTCTTATGTGGGTGCAGGGGCTCAGGCACTTGGCCATTCTCCTCTTTCTCCTCTGCTTTTCCAGACCATTAGCTGGGAGCTGGATGGGCGGTGGAGCAGCTAGGACATGAACTGGTGCCCGGATGGGATCCTACTCTCAGGCAGCATCTTGGCCCACTGTTCATAGCGCCAGCCCCCAAACAGATTTCTTGCTCTGCACGTGTGGTGCAGCCCTACGCTTGTGTTGCGGGTTTGCCTGATCAGCTCCGTGCTCCTGGAGTGCGCGTGACTCGGGCGGCGCGTGCGGCGTGCGCGGCTGGCTTTGGCGTCCTGCTCTTCTGCTCTTGTTTGTGTTTGTGACTGTGGAGGAGATTGCCATGCGTTTTTCTGCATTGTGCTGATGACTTTCTGGCTTTGATGAAAGGCGGTAGTAACCTGGTAAAATCAGTTCAGGCAGCTTTTACTTTCTCTGTTCTTTGGAACTATTTGTTATTTAGAGCTAGAATGTACCTGTGGCACATCTGGAGCAGTGATGTAAGTGATCATTAAAGACAGCGATTCCAAACTATAATTTCTTCAATTTTTTTTGTCTCCTTTGCTTCATTTTTTAGAGATTTATTTATTTTTCTTGGAAAGCCAGATTTACAGAGGGAAGGAAAGATAGAAAGATATTCCATCTACTGGTTCACTCTGCAAGTGGCCACAATGGTCAGAGCTGTGCCAATCTGAAGCCAGGAGTTTCTTCCGGGTTTCCCATGCATATGCAGGGTCCCAAGGCTTTGGGCCATGCAGGACTGCTTTCCCAGCCCAGAAGCAGGGAGCTGGATGGGAAGTAGAGCAGCCAGGACACAAAGTGGTACCCATATGGCATCCCCACACATGCAAGGTGAGGACAGTACCTCACAGAGCTCTCACGTGCCACATGGGCTGTCCCCTAGCTCTGCCCCTCTTGGCTTCCAGGATCTTGTCCTTGGCACCATGGGACAGCTGTCTTGCCTGGTCTGTGTCCCTGGCACTGCCACACTTAATGGATAACTTCCTTACCCTGCTCAGGCTGCCACCCCAGGTCCTCAAAGGGGCCTTTGCCACCTGCTCTGTTCCTACCATCACTCAAATGTTACTTGCTCTCCCCTTGGAGCCCACTGGGCCTGGAGACACTGTTCTGGCCTTTATCAGGGTGGTTTCCTGCCCTGGCCCTCCCCGCCCTCACTCTCCTTCTGGGAGCCTCTCCACCCACTTGCATTCCATTCCCATATGTACAGATGCCTCCTCGCTCTTCTCGGCTGCTCTCTCCACCCTGGGTAGCTCCCCCCTCACACCTTAGGGCCCTGCTGACTTGCCCGAAGCCTCTGTTGACCTGCCTTCCCCCATCCAGTACCCCAGTGGGCAGTCAGCTCATCCAGCTGCAGGTGAGCCTCGAGTCCCCAAGCCCCACCTGTGTTTCCCAGCAGGGCCACACGACAGCTGTGTCCTAGGCACTGTGGTTTCTCGATTCACCAGTGAATTCTGAACACTCTGGACACTGGGTTCATTCTGAGTCATTTGACTTTGTACTTAATTTGAGACTTCGTTCCATGCTGGACTGAACCATTAGACATGACTGGCATTTGGTGTGGTTCTTCTCTGCAAGTGAAAAAAGAAGTAAACCTTGAAAATACCCAAGCCCTCCATGGAGCTAATTGCCCACGGCTGCGGCCAGTCCCATGCTCTCTGCGCGTCCTCCATGCTGATCCCTCAGCCTCTCAGCAGAGCTGCCGGCTGATTGCTCTCTGTTTACGCACTTGCTTATTTTATGTGGTTTACACTCATCCATTAGTGGGATGAGCCATAATGGAGGGCCCGCTTCCCTGTCCCAGGCTTGGGTCTGGGAGGAGAGTGTTTTCAGTTTATTTTGAGCATGAGGGTGATGCTTTGTATTTCCAAAGGGCCGGGAGCCACTGAGAAGCCTTAG